GATTGTTTTGGGAATAGCTTATGTCTAATTTTCATGAAAAAATTTCTAGGACAGAGGTGTGAACCTCAGCTTGTTAGGAGGCTTCAGAGTGAGCTCAGGGCTAGCCTGAGCACTTTGTAAGCGTTGGTACAACTGGGGCTCGTTAGACATGTGTTCTGTTTTCTCTGTGCCCTGGAGGGAGTAACCCTGGGGGGGGGGCTTGGAGATGTGCACTTTTGAGCATCCTTTCAAGAATTGGATGTTAATATCTGAGTTTCTCATAATGGAAGCAGACTTTATCGACTGAATTTTAAAGGAGTTGAAGTTTGGCTTTTCATAGGCTGATGATGAGGAGAAATGATTTTCTTTTTAAGCTGTATTCCACAAGAGCTGGGACTCTGGTTGGGAAGCAGAGAGACAGACGGATCTCCAAAGGGGCTTGTGATTATAACTGCTTTTCTTCCTAGATATTGATTAAAATCATTTATCAAAACAAAATTATTTCTGTTTAGAATGAATTTCCTGTCTCTGGGCCAGTTACTTAAACATAAGGGTTTGTTTTTGTTTTTTTGTTTTGCTTTTTTGGTTCTTTTGTTTTTGTTTTTCGAGACAGGATTTTTCTGTAGCTTTGGAGCCTGTCCTGAAACTAGCTCTTGTAGACCAGGCTGGCCTTGAACTCACAGAGGTGTCCCGCCTCTGCCACCTGAGTGCTGGGATTAAAAGTGTGCGCCACCACTGCCTGTCAGTAAGTTTTATTTGGATTAATAACAGATTTAAAAAATTTTTTCTATTTATTTGTTTTGAGAGTGGTATACACACTGCCGTGAAGCAATGCACGGAGGGCAGAGGCCAGCTTCTAGATTTGGCTCTTTGGCTCTTTCCTTCCACAGTGTGGATTGGAGATGGACTCTGCATTAGGTTTGGTGGGAAGCATCTTTATAGTGAGCCGTCTTGCCAGTCCTACAGATGTTTTAAAACATGCTGTAGCTTGCTTGTCTTATTCTTAATATTTTAAAATGTATACTTGGAAAGGTTGTTTTGCAGATTGTTTAAGGTAGATGTAAAATAAGGAACAGATTTTTATCTCAATATAATGTAATTTTTAAAATTATTTTTCTCTTTTAGAGAAAACATAAAACAGATAGTAAAACTTCTTGCAAGTGTTCGGGCTTTGGATCATGCTGTGTCCGTTGCAAGTGACCACAATGTGAAAGAACTTAAGTCTCTGATTGAAGGAAAATAGATCAATGAGACTGAAAAGTTTTTGCTTTGCCCATTCCCAGTGTGTAAATTTTGTATATATGTAAAGTTTCTTAAACTGTAAAATACTGACTCTTGTTTAAATACAAAAACATTATATTACTACTGTGTCCTTAAATGTTATTTCTTCATAATGAAAGGAATTCAGATTATTTCTAGGAGTCTTTGAGTGTTTTCCTTACTGCCTGTCATATTTTGTTTATGGGAGTATTTTGTATCATTAAATTAACTTCATTTAAGTGTACTCTATAAATGACATGTGTGCAATGTAAATTGTGTAATTATCATACATATATATGTATATATTTATACTGCCATGGGTTTTCATGCTGGAAATACGGTGTTTGGTGTTTTTCTACAGAGGAAGCTTTTTAACAACAGAACCTTACCCAGTAGTGGTCGTCTTAGGGAACTACTGCACTGCTTCAACAGAAGGGCTGGCAGGTGATGACCTTTCACCCCCACTTTAGCTAGTATCATTGTCACTTGTAGCTGTACTGCCTTAAAATGAGAGCTGAGTTACGGACGTTGTCGCTGAGTGAGTGTGAACTTCTGTGAATTGGCCTTGGAGGCAAATGTGGGTTTAATATGAGCTCTAGGTGAGATATGCAAGAGTTTGGGGTGGGAGGGACCTCAGTTTAGTTTCTGACAATAAGCCCACAAGCTAAGTGCATGGTTTAGGCTGACTGTCCTTTCTCATTCATGAGTTTACTCCCTATCCAGCTTACAGATACAGATATAGTCTATCATATTTTAAATCCCACATATGTGAGTTATATATGCAATAAAGAATATGCCTTGCTGATTAGACACACCCAGGCAATTTACTATCGGTGGTCTTCTGTAATGTTTATACCACATTGTAAATACTCAGAGAAACTTGTTTTAAAGTTAATGCTTTCTGATTCTGTGGTTTTCAAAAGAGGAACTTTTTAGAAATTAAGGACTATTGTTTGATAATTATATGTGTAATTAAGCTTTAGCCAAGCATTAAATTAATTTTTAAATACATCCTTCGTTGTATTTTGCTGGTGACTTAAGTTTAGAGTATTTCAAATGATTCATATAGTGAGACCATTCACAGTCCAGTGCCTACTCTTAAAGCCAGATGATTCTACAGGACAGTGTCGTGCCCTCCTTCCTCCGTCAGTTTGCTTGCAGGAGCATGTCCTAACTCCACATGGTCATTCTGGGGGAATTTTTTTTTATGCTTTGTGGGCTCCTAAATGGAATTAAACTCTAAAAAATTCATTCTCAATGTCAGTGGATTAAAACAAACACAAATAGGTAATTGATCCTTAACTATGTTTCCAAGCCTCTCACATAAATAATTTCTGTATGTTTTTAATAACTCAGAATGAACACTGAGACTTCCTATCCTAGCCTTTAGTTACAGCCTTGAACACTATCCCAAGACTCTGGAATGTAGCACAGAACTGTGTTTAAAACTTGATCTTTATATTTCAACAGCTTAGCGAGTAATGAACACTAAAAAGGAATTCTCAGTTGCTGTATCATTGTCACATACTAGTTGAGTATCTTAAAACAATTATTTTTGAATGCCGAAGGCCCGAAATTGAAAATAAGTGTCACCAGGACTCTTGTGTCCTGTCAACGTTCTTACTCTTGGCTTGTCATAATTATCCAGTCTGCCGTTTGTCCTCGTGTCATGAGTATCTGACTCCACTCTGTCTCCTTTGTAAGGGTATTTGCCATTTCATATAGGTTTCCTGCATATACGTGGTAATCTATTGGACATCTGAAACCACCTCAAGATTTCTTTGCCAAGTCTACCTCCTATTTGCTGGCTTCAAGTATCAGGGTGAGAATATTTTGAGATGGTTTGTCACAAGCCTCACTCACTATTCACTTTCTAAGCCAAGAAGGCAGTGGCTTCTCTGCAAACCTTCAGACCAAGTCTATACCACTGAAGCATTTTAAGTTAGCCTCTTGTAAAGACCACAGTTGACTAAAATGTACAGCTAATTGGAAACAAAGTAATAAATAGGAATTGTAACAAAGTTTGTAATAAATAAATTGTAACAAAGTAAATCGGAAGAGGACAATAAGGACTTTAAAAGTCACTGGTATGTTTTTCAAGTCCTGGACTTAGTTATGATTAAAAATTTATTTTGATAGGACTTGGGTAAGCTTTGACTTAAGACTAAAAATGTATCCTGTTTCCTCTGGTTTTATTTGAAGGAAGAAATTGCAACCTAGAAGTTCGAATCTCCACTTCCTTAGTTCAAAAATAAACCAAGAACAGTCAGAAGGCTTCCATTAGAAAGAACCAGGGCTTATGGTATAGTCTCAGATTCTTGAGTGAAGAGATTGATTATAGCTCCACTTAACTATGATTTCAGGTGTCATAAAATGGTACATTCCTAGGGCTGGGGATGCCCTCTGTAGAATGCCTACCTGGTATGCATGAAGTACTGGGTTCAATCCTTGTCACCACATAAGCCAGGCATGGTGGCACACCGGCCTCGACTTTGACTCTTGGTCTCAGCAAAGGTACTTGCAAGGTAGAGCTCGACAGGTAGTTACGTCATATTCAGGCGTCATGTTCTCACCCCTTCCATTTCTTTAAAGGATTGTCCCAACTGAAATGGACACGTCTCGAAAGGAAAATGACTAACATAGTCCACTGCAGCATTTCAATTATCACTGAAAGCTGTGATTACTGTAACCACAACAAAAAGCAAAAGTTTTTCTAAGGGGACTACTAAGTGAAAAGATCTCAGAACTAAATCCAAGTATGTTTCTCCTTGAGTAGAGTGGCTTGTGTTTTTAGTATTTGAAACCAGGGTTGAATTTGTCTTCGATAAGATGGAGAAATGTTGAGTCACATGATAGAGCCTGTTAGAGGAACTGATTTTGTGCAACGCATCATATTGTGGTTTTAGGGGGAAAACAGCAAAAAGGGGAAGAGACTAGAAAAAAGCAAAGGCAAGCAGAAACATGAATGCTGGGTTCCTCGGGTTGTCAATTCTTTCCTAAAGCCCTATTAACTACATTTCCTCCATCCTTGTCTCTGAAATAGAAGCAGAATAAAATAATTCTGCCGAACACAAACCATAAGCATGATGGGTTGAGAAAAAGAAACGGTATGGAACAGTGTGATCCTCTTAATTATAAAATTCCACGGTCTGCATTCGGCACATCACTAAGTGACAGCCATGTTTTGTTTAGCAGCCTTGGAGCTGGCTGCTGACTCTCGCTCACTTCCACAGCCAGGAGCGGTCTCCAGGGCCTGACACCATGGACAGCTCTCGGGGCGCCAGCCCGCCCGCGCGGCTGGCAGACCGTGCCCAGCCCTCCCCGGCCGGTCTGGCCCGTGGAGGCGGCAGGGGGGTGGTCCCGATGCCCGACGCGGGCCCCCGCAGCTCTCCCGCAGCCCCTCCCTGCTGTCCGCGGGGAGGGTCGGCGAGCTCGCAGGACTCCACGCGAGGAGGCTGAACCCTCTGCGGGTTTCCCTGGACGTACGACCCGACCGCTCCTGCGTTGACCAAGGCGTCACGGACTCAGTGACTCAGGTCACGGGGACTGCGGGACCTGAGAGGCTCACAGGCGCCCGGCTGGGGCGAACGGCCCCGCGTGGGCGGAAACGGCTCCGCCCCTTCACCCTAAGGGGCGGATCTTCCGCCCCCCGGCAGCGGTGCAATGCGGAAGAGCTGGGCCTGCTGGGGCGGAAGTGACGCCACCGGCGGCTGTAGCGGCGGCGGCTGCGGGAGAAGGAGGAGGAGGAGTCGGAGGAAGAGGTGAGGCGGCCGGCGGGGGGCGGGGAGCGGCCGCGGCCAGATCCAGCGGCAGCCGGCCGGGCGGGTGGACGCTTCCTGAGCAGCGGCGGCGGTCGCAGCCGGGACGCGAGCGGTGAGAGGCGGCTGCGGGGCGTCCGGCTGCGGGTCGTGAGGGGACCGCGGGGTGGCGGGTGGCTACGGTGACAGCGGCTGTCACCCCGCGGGCGGGAAAGGACCCGGTCAGCACAGGCTCCGGGGCATCTCTTGAGGCGCATAATGGAGGCACTGGACTGTCCGGTGCCTCCGTTTCCCCGGCTACCCCGGAACCCCTTGAGCCGCGATGGGATCGTCACCATGACCTGCGTGACTGGGCGGAAGGCGGCGGTCACCTGTGTGGCTTTCCCTGCCCTTCGCCGCCGCCCTGGGGAGTCCGCGACGCTACAATCCCTGCCCTCCTCCGGCCCCCTCAGGGTCTTTGAGGCAGCCCGGTTGACCTTCCCTCCCATCTCCTGGCCTTTTCCGCCTTAGGATCAACCCGAAGTTCCCCCATGAGTTCCCTTCCAGTAGTGACAGATCGTGAAGCAGGAAGCTGATAAACAACCCCAACCGAAAATACACTCCAGATTTTCCTGTGGGTAAACATGGGAAATTCACCTTATCCAATTCAGTACCCGCAGTGCTAAAACCCTGCCTTTCCTTGCTGTGCCTTGAGACTTGGAAGCGTTTCCTTGTGCCTTTTGGTAGAAATTTGGTGACGCCTTATCTTTTGGAATAAATGGTTCACCCCAGATTTCTCTTTTTCTCCACCCCCGCCTCCATCAAACTTGGCAAGGAGGGACCCCTGGGTATCTTGCAGCCCCCTGGCTTGACTTGGCTTGGTTTTCACAGGGCTCCCTCTGAAGAGAGGAGAATGGCGTTCAGCAAAGGATTTCGAATCTACCACAAATTGGATCCCCCACCGTTCAGCCTCATAGTGGAAACTCGGCATAAGGAAGAATGTCTCATGTTCGAGTCTGGGGCTGTGGCTGTGCTCTGTAAGTCACGTGTTTTAGCCTAACTGATTATGATCTCTGTTTTGGTTTGTAGCTCTGAAGTTCAACAGTTCATAAAAAAAATTCTTGGAAGCCTTCTTATGGAATTTTATCTGATGGACTTATTCTTTGACTTAATTTGAATGAAACCTTGTTTCCTATAAACTCAGACTTAGGTTTTTGTTTGGGGGAGGTGGTTCAGGAGGTGCAGATTTTGCCTGTGGGATTTTGTTTTTCTTGGGTTCTACTTCTAGAAGAGTATCTTTCTGTGAACTGCTGTTCCTGTTATGTCTTATCTCATGAACCCAGTAGGACAGCTGGCTTGACATCTGTAATGCCCAGAATTTTGCAATAATATTATCTGTTATAGGTTTCTGTGTTATCTTATGTTGAACCCTTATTATTTTTGTTGTTTTTTTATTTTATATTTTTTTATATTTTGGTGTGCCTCGTGCGCACGTGTGATGTTGGTGGGTCAGACGCAGGACTTCAGTTACCTAGGCAAGTGCTCTCCTGCTGATCCCTTGCCAAGTGCGCACGTGTGATGTTGGTGGGTTAGTTTCAGATCAGGCACGTGATTGATCGACTTCTCCAGCCTAAGTGTTTGTATTTTCAGTAAAAACTGCAAACAGTTTCTAAAAGTTTCATGTGAGATATGCGATTGTTTTCCTATTATTTAAAAATGACTTTGATTTTTAAAGAAAACTACTTACTGTAGCACACACAATCACATACACACAAAATAAAGATTGGGTTAATATGTGACAGGTGGATGAAAATAGAAATTCTAATTAACGTTGTGCTTTTTTTTTTACATTTAATTATTTGTGTGTAAGTGGGAGCACATGTGGGTCAGAGGTCAGCTTGTGGGAGTAGGCTCTCTGCTCCTACTGTCTGTGTTCCAGGGATAGAACTCAGGTCGTTAGGCTTGGTGGCAGATGCATCTTTCCTGCTGAGATACCTCAGTGTGCCCCATACTTCATTCTTAATATAAAACTGGGGCAGGTAACCCCAGTTTGGGGTTGTCTCAAGTATGATTTTTTAAAACAGATTTTCTAATGGTAATTATTTGTTCTTAGGATTTTTTTTTTTTTAAAGCAGTCTGTTTTAGCCTGATCCTTCATGATATAGCCAAAGCTGTTGAATTGCAGATCCCCTGCTTCCATGTCCTGAGTGCTGGAAATACAGTGTGCACAACTGTGCTAGGCTTATGAGTGCTGCGGGCTGAACTCAGGCAAACAGTCTGCCATCTGAGCTACATCCCAAGCTCTCTTTGATAGATTTTTCTCAGATTGTTTATAGGTCATATATTTATAAATGAAAATTACCGTTTGGGCTGGGGGCGTGCTTAGTTGTAAGCATGAGGACTTGAGTGTGATCCTAGCATCCTCATGAAAGCCTGGCATGGTACTACATGCCTATAACCCTAGACCAGGGGAAGCAGAGGCAGGAAGGTCCCTGAGACTCTCTGGTCAGCTAGGCTGTCAGTTTTAAGGCAACGAGTCTGTCTCAAGAAATAATATGGAGAGCAATAATGGGAAACATCTGATATCAACCTCTGACTGCCATGTGAACTCTCATGACATATACATGTGTGTATGTGTGTGTATTTGATATATAATAAATACATAATAAAGGAAGGTATTTGATAACAACCTCTGGCCTCCATGAATACTCTGTATGTGTGTATATATGTGCATTTAATTAATAAATATAAAGGAAGACACCTGATGTCAGCCTCTGACCTCCAAGCATACTCTCATGCATACTCATGTATGTGTGATATTACTGTGTGTATATATATATGTGTGTGTAAATCTATACACACATATATATGTATACACATAATAATGTTTGAAAAACATATTTACTAACATAAGCCATAAATCTTTCAACTACTGCTCTTTCTGTAGACTCAGTAAGTACAGCACATAATATTCTGACCCACATATTTATAGGTGTAGCCTGACTAATACAGTAAAATATATCCTGGTGGGGAAAATAATAGTGACATAATGAACAACTCTTAAGCAGAGATCAGTATATAACAGTATATAAATATTTAGTGTATATTTTTTATACATACAGTATCATGGTTTGAAGAAAGGCATGAGGCTAGATACAGCTAAGAAAAAGGTTCAGTAATATTTAGCATAAACTTTATTACTCTAAATTGGTTTTTATGTTTTAATAAAATAAAAATGACATGCTCTCATGTTAATCCACATAGCCTACATTTTCATACTATAGATGTACTTACACTAGTGAATGCTGAAATAAAACATCAGATTGGAGGGCTTTGCTTGGTAATATAATGTCTTTCAACTGCTTGTGTTTTGGTTGACATTACCTGATTTATTAATGTTTAAATTCTAGTATATTTTTAAATTGTGGTTACTCATAATTGCGGTGGGAAGTCAGTATGAATAAATTATGAATTTACCTGTAGTTTTAAGTTATTGCTATACGTTCGAAAAACCTAAGAATAATTATACTTGTAAAACCTCTAGTAGTTACCTTTCATGTCAAATAATGATTTTTAAAAGGCTCTAAAACTTTCATTTGGGGCATTAATTATGAGGTGGAATAGTATTAAGATATTATCTTTACAGTATATACTTATTTTCACTGCTGGTAATTGAAACTAAGTACTGCATATTAAGCAAGCACTCTAACACCAAGCTATATCTGTAGCTCAGTTGTTTCTGATTGTGTTTCTCTTCATTGGATTTGAGCTGTGTAAGTAATTCTAAGAGGACGTTTGAATGCTGCTTTTCTCTGTAAAGCTAACATAAATGGATACATACTCTCTTGGGTGTGTGTTGTTTTCTATAAACTCTATAGCAGCACATAAAATATATTTTATTTGACTTTTTAATTGATATATAAAAAGCAAAAACTACACATGTGGCTACAACACATGATGTTTCAACACATTTATATATTATAGAATGTTGAAATGGGTTGGACATTTGCCATTTATGGTGAAAACGTGCAAAACTCTTTAGTCTTATAGGACATTGCTACCTTTAGCTCACTACTGTGCAATAATAAAATATTAATCTTTAAGAGATAACTTTTTTCTTCTTATATAAATTGATTTGTAAAATTAGTTAGGTGCTAATGTTATGTTAAACATCTATAACCCCAACACTCAGGAGGCAGAAGCAGAAAGAGCTTGTATTTGAGGCTATCCTGGGGTACATAGCAACAGCCTGTCATACAAAAAGTTTAATTTGGCATTTGTTTTAAAGTTATACCAAGATAGATGTTGTCCTGCATGTTTGGCTTCTAAAACAACCTACAGAATTTTGAATGCCCGCTCCGTTCCGGGAACTGTCCGTAAGATTGGGTGTGTTCTCTTCACCTGCCCTCTTCTCAGCCACTGAGTTTCAGGGCAGCCTGCCTATCAGTCTACAAGAAATGTCCTCTAAAGTCATTTTTATAGTATGTCTTCCTTAGCCTCACTCCGCTCCTTCTGTACAGTGGTGACCTCTGGAAGATGGTTTTAGTGTTCTCCCAAAGTACTAGGACTTACCAGATTTGTACCGACCTAATCAGTCATTGATGTGTTGGGTTGTTTGTTTGTTTGTTGTTTTAGGTTTGTTTCTGACAGGGTCTCTCAAAGCATAGGCTAGTCTCAAACTTGCTGTGTAGCCGAAGATGACTTAGAACTTCTGATCCTCCTAAGTGCTGAGCCAGTGGCTTTCTGTGTCTAGGCTGCACAAAATAATCATCTGGGAAGATTTCACAAATACTGGTACCTGGGCTTCTTTCTCATAGTCATATCAAAATGATAATTTCTGAGCAAAACATACATGTAACTTGCTATGATATATTTACCAGGTCACTTTTTTTGACCTATAGATTTTTATCTAAAATAACTATGTTCCAGAATTATAATACTGTGATTGTGTATTATGAAGCTGATCATTTTCTTGAAGCCCTCAGACTGTATCAGAAGGTAGTTTTTCATGACATTTTCAGTACAATGTTTTCATATCACATGGAACTGTATACCTGTGTCTTAAGGTTTCCATAATGCTTGGCACAGTACTTTACTCACAGCTAGGGAGCACATAGTTAACGACTGACACTAGTGGGAAAGATACCCTACATTAGAGATTGACAGACTCGGAGTTGTCTGTTTAGAAATACAGTATATTGGCTAAGCAGATGACTCCATGGATAAAGTGTTTGCTGAACAACTCTGAGGACTTGAGTTTGGGTTCTGGCACCAACTTAAAATTTGAGCTGGGTATTGACTGGAGAGAGGCAGATCCTAGGGATGACTGACTGGTCAGCCAGTAGAGACATCAAGCTCTGGCCTCTGAGAGACACATCTGACCTGCCAGCATCTGACTTTCATATGTAATATGCAGGCAAGCACAGCTATCGCACACATACCCACATCCCACACACATGTATGTTTTGTATCTTTTTGTTTGTTTCTTTGTTTTGCCTTGATGGATCGAACCCAGGATTCACAGCTGTAGGCAAGCACAATACTACTGAGCTGCATTTCTTGCCCAATTTAATTTTTGATTGGCATATAATAATTTGTATAGTTTTATGGGGTACAGTGTAGTATTTCTCTATATACATACAGCATGTTATGATTAGATCAAGGTAGTTAAACATATTTATGGTCTCAAACATTTATTGTTTTTGAACCATTCAAAATCCTTCATAGCCATTTTGAAATATGCATTATTATTGGCCATAGTTACTCTGGTGTGTAAATAGAGCAACAGAACTTATTTCTCTTATATAATTAACTTTTTATCCACAGACAAATTTGTCCAGTGTCACTCCCATCCTCTTTGGCCATTAGTAGCTGTTATCCTAGTCCATGCTTCTGTGATACTGACTTTTCTTAGATTCCACAAATGAGTGAGATCATGTCATCTAGTGTTTGTCACGCTTCCTTGCCTATTCACTTCACATTGTGTTCTCTAGGTCCTTCCATGCTGTGAAGATTACAGTATCTTTTTGTGGCAAAT